CCAATATGCTCTTGGCTCTGCTCTCAAATGCCGGTCCCCTAGTTTTCCCACACTTACTTGTAGGGAACTTTTCCAGGGAAAACACCATATGACAGCTCTATGGTCCTCATAACACAGTTCAACAGTGCAAAGTCAAAACAGCCTTCATGCACAGATCTCCTTCAAAAGCCTCGTCTGTGACTAAAACATTTGTAATTACTGAGTCATGAGTTCAAATGATCTATTTTCAGTATGCCCGCTGTGTTACTCCCCTCTCAACTTTTCCACACTGTGGCCAAGCGATTTGTTGTCACATGTGATCTACGCCAATGCTCAGCTATCAACAAAACTACATCATTTCCAGGGAAGAGGGAATGGCTCTATTCAATCAGATACAGATACACATACAGGATTTGTAAACAGATTCTGTTAGATGTTAGACATTCTAAAATCAAAGCACATGTATCTAGACTCTAGACGAGTATTCATAAAAACAAAAGAATTGATTACAGATAGCAAAATGCTGACATTGAACATTTTCACAATTTGAACTAAAGCACCTTCCTTCAATCATTTCTTCCTGATAAATGACTAATAATACACTTGCTGACCCAAAACTTATCTTTCAGCTCTTAAATAAATATTTCCCAATATAATATATATAATATGCGGTCTGGGCCGCATTCCTGACGAAACTGGACCAGTGTAAATGCATCTGGTTTTTGAAACCACATATGCAAATTTTACTCCTCCCAAAATGTTAAAATAATAAACGTGCAAGAGCGTGTTATAGGCAATATATGATATTATAGTCAGATATGACTGCGCTAATGCAACACGCATCGCCGCGGACGAGTAGCTGAGTATCTCTTCAGCAAGCCGAAGCGCAAACTGCCGTGAATGAAACAAAGTAAGACGCAGACGGTCAACACACAATGGACCTTTCTCAAATTTCCGGGTTTCTCAGCAGCGGAAGTCGTCATAGTTGGGTTAACATGAAGAGCAGTGAATGGGAGAGTACCACAAATATATTTTTTGCATTCCCATTTGCTCAAATAGCTAAAGAAAAACTCCACGATAGTGTTTTCATGACTTTCAGTAAAAGGGAAAAAATTGAGAGAGACTGATAACGGCAGTCAGA